TGCAAGCATGTTCGGGATGCGGTTTCTCCCGTCCAAATGCAAAATGTTGCTCCAAGATTGGTCTGTGTCAGCACCTGAAATAGAGATAGGGAGTGAAGCAATTGAACGTGTTGACCGCCCTAACTTATCTGGGGGGAGTCTCATCAGTGCTGATGGCCTGGTGTATGACGAAATCTCAGCACGGATACAGAAGGCTCGATTGACTTTTGCCATCTCACATCACTTATGGCATAGGCGAGCTATCAGTTTTCTAACCAACGGACGAGTTTACTGTGCAGTAGTTCGCTCTTTCCTACTTTATGGCTGTGAAACATGACCATTCAGAGTAGAAGATATTCGAAGGTTGCCGGTTTTCTATCATAAGTGTCTTCCAAGCATTTCTCAAGTATCGTGGGACAACCGAGTAAGCAATGCTGTCCTTAGGAATTGAGTACTAGGTTGGGATAGCAAATCAATAGATGAAGTACTGAAACTTCATGATTTGTGGTGGTTGGGATATCGATTACGTGTCCCTAACCATCGAATACCTCGACAAGCTATGTTTTGTGATGTAGGAATAGGTTGGACGAAAGCTAGGAGCGGCCAAACCAAAACATGACAGCAATCTATGAAGTCACTGACAAGTGAACTTAGTCATGTTGGTAGGTGTCGACTACTTGGTTGGGGTCTGCGAGATGATAGCAATCGATGGTTAGAGACCTTGAGTGATATGGTTTAAAACCGATAGCAATGGCGTAAGTGCATTCATGCATTATGTTCTCTCAAATCCTAACTTTCTGAATTCTTCATTACCTCTATCTTTTACTTTTCACTAGTGGATTTGAATTGACAATTACATCTATGTGCTAATATGTTATGGCAACTTGAACTGATGTACGTACGAAGTTCTACGTTGTTATTGATTGATTATATAAAAACTGATTGATCAATTCCATTCTTAAATATAAATGGAAATATCCAAATAACCAATACATACATACATTGACATATTAAGTGGTTTATTTGATTGATTGTCATTTCCATATTATAGTATTTGGTTATATTTTTTTTTTGTAAGCTTTGACCTACTTTCTATATCATGTCATTCTACTTATCCCATTCTTCTTATTTAATTATCTCCATACTACTGATTTGTACTGTTCATTTTATGTGATTAGTTATATGATATACATATTTTTTCTTTCATTCTATTCATTAAATAGTCAATTTTTCTTAAATTTCGATCAATATATCTAATTGTTCAATGTTCTATATTTTGTTTTAATTTATATGACATAGATTTTTTTTCAAAATATTTTCAAAATTTCTTTAGCAGTAATATAATCTTGAAAGTGCTAAATAATTTGTTTGTTTATGATGATGAATTCAGTTGAAAAAATGTCAATGAGATGAATTAACCTTTTTGTTCTAATCACTTCATGTGTTTGAAAACAAACAAACAAATAATATGGATACTTTATGTTACCGAATTGTGACACAATGAAACAAACTTTTTTTATAAACTAACTAGTAAGAAATTCGAGTTAAGCAGAGTTTTCTGCCAACTACGTTTAAATCATCGTATAGCTCTCATTATTTCAGAAAATATTGATGAATATTGATCTGATAGTAATAGTAATAATAATAAAATGGAGTGCGGTAGATGATTGATGGACATTAGTTCAATTCGATTACAGTATTAAAGTGTAGGAAGGATTTGATTGTGACCAATTTGGTCTCTCGTGTGCTGGTACGGGTATGAGGGCGGTTGTCACTTCCCGGCTGCCCACACCGTGGAAGGTTGTTTCATGAGGGACTTGAAAAGGAAGGTGGATTAGTGTTGGTCTTGGAGACCTGGAAGCGTGACCGCTGAGTCCAAGGGACAACTGCTTGAGGCCGGTCATGCACAGCCTTTTGATGAAAGGTTTTTTGAGGATTAGCTCCGTTCTTAAAGGACCTTAGTGGGCACCCTTACCCAAGGAGACGGAAATCCGTGAGGAAGGGGAGGTGTGACATTTTTAGGGCCGACCTTTTCTAACCCTTCCTTCCTTGTGAGAAGGCAGCATCGCTGCAGATACTGGTTGTCCGAGGGAAACACCTTACTGCTGTCACACCCCTCTGCAGTCAGCAGTACGACTTCGCCCTCAGACCTTGGCTAGCTGCTTTTAGTCTCATCGTTCTCCAATCGACCTGCCTGGCATGGTAGGACCTGCAGGAACATGTGTTCCAGCCAGTATAGCTCGGTTGGGTCATCACGATAGGCAAGCCCGATCAGCACGTCAAGGTAGCAGCTACTGTTGGATTTGAATTGACAATTATATCTCTTAGGAAGAATATGATAGGAAACAATATCAAATAAGTGATAGTTTTCTCATTGATCTCCTCAATCAAAATTGATTTTACAACAACAATCATGTCAATTATTCGACAAAAGAGTTGAACTTTACTCTGTGTACATTTTACGAGATAATTCAATTTACGGTAGTTTTTATATTGTCCTAATGTAGTATGGTGGTAACCTGATAGTTTGTGTAAATTATTCAATTGTTGATATATATATGGTATTTGTCGTTAATTAGTATGATCTGATTATTACTACTATTATTCAATTCTGTATTATATGTATGACCTAGTTATGTACAAATTGTGATGAATTGTTATTCTGTAATTCATATATATATATATATATATATTACCAGATAACTTTTCGAGTCAATGATAAGAGAGTACTAGTAGTAAATCGACTGACTATATTTCGATTGATTGTTAAGGATATATATAACAGAGTCATATAGACCAATAATAGGTGTTAAGATGTGTGGTTATATTTGGGAGTTATTCGGGCCATTTATGTTGTTGTAAGTTGTAAAGTCAAGATTATTGATTACACTGGCGTAAGGCAAAGTACTAATTAATGGACTTTTGCAATTAAGTGACCATATTTAATGGACAAAACAAGAGTTGAGAATTCATGAAAATGGTGTTAATTCTCACGGAATTAAAACCTCCTCCAAATTCAGTTAGGAAAATACCTTAAATATTATTTTTGTTAAATTGTAATTTTATGCATGTCTATGATGTACCATAAATAATCATTCACAATCTATGCATAATTAAGATGTTTACAGTACAAATTCTGAGTAATGGGGTTCATACTTTGCATAGATAACTTTATTGAAGAAAAAAAACTGTACACAACTCACGAAAGTCATCTCACTAATTCCTCTGTAAACACTTGCATCTCTCTCTCTCTCATCTATCATGTGATTTCTCCCACTATGAATCATGTTTACACATGATCAATAATTTTCTATTTAGCCCAATAATCGGAAATCTTAACTCCTATTGGTTCATTTGGCATCATAGTTCTTGATCAGAACACGAAGAAAGCAAACAGATTTGCATTCTGTGATTTTATACTATCATCATGACTAAAAACCTTAGAGGATTATGAATATCAGTTACACAAGCATAAAGAATCACAAATAAGAAAAAACTAGGTCATAAGTGATGAAAAAAATCCGAGTGATAGGCGAAGTTTTAGATACGGTAAAATTTGTGATAATCGTTACCTAGTTCGATAAATTTATTAATTACGCAATTTCATGTAGTGTAGTTCTAAGAGTTCCCCACATACACTGATCTAATATCATTCTAATTCACCTAAGCTTGCCTAGTATATTGTAACTTTGTTTTACCAACAGAAATAATCAGCTTCACGTTGATAGTTATATACACTAATCTGTATAAATTATCCATCTTCTGTAGTTGAACGTAGTACGTAGGAAGCCCTGGATACATATTTCACTGCCTGCTGTCATATCTTGACGGAGCGCTGTCTTCCGGTGATAAGATTGTTAAACATTACTTAGATGTCGAGAATTGCGTAACTACTTGCATTTCAGTTGTCAAAAAGCTACTGTTATAACCTCAGCATATTACTACTCCACTTTCAGAAACTTATTTCAACGTACCAACCGGAAAAACTAGTTGATGTTCAAGTGTTGAATAACCACTAGTGACTAGTGTCATATTTATCGTTGAGACTGATTTATACTACTTATATAAATTAAAGTAAGCCATTTTATGAAGAACTAAATAGTTTAGGTCGTCTACCAGTCATAATAGTGAAAGTCTCAAATTCACAATTGAAATCATGAACTGATCTTAGCTAGACAGTCGTTGAGAACATGGAACGTCTTAGCAGGCTGAACCCAGTGGTTTAGAGGTTAAATGGTCGCGCACGAGACTAGATGTTCTCCGTTTGATCCCCACGGTCGGGATAGTGTATTCGCAATTCCAAAGAGTTCCATAATACATAAATTTTATTTTAAAAATTAAATACTGATATCTTCTCACAACTTGTAATGAACAGTTTTTTTTACAGTATCAAAAGCTTATTGTTTAACTATAGAGTGTAAACACGATGTAATAAAACTATAACTTAAACATACTGTTCTTCCAATCGATGTAAGCATATACATTACAAGGTAGCGGGAAAGGTAAGACACCCTCTATCCTCCTTTCACAGTTTCAACAAATTTAATTGACATATGAATTGAAGATTGAAGGATGATTGACATATGCATGGCATGGTGTTATCAGGTCACACACACACACAGACCAAAATCATCTTTCGTTTAATTGGGATTTATTCAGGGACTGACTTTATAATTACAACCAATGGTCTTGACCCTTATTACCAAACATTTGAACAAGTTAGTAACCTGTTGTATTATTCTATTAGCGCATAATACAAACTGAATTATTCATCGTAAACTGTGATCAATGAGCCGTCGTCAATCAAAACAAAATGGAGCTAAGGTATTCTCAATAATAAAACATCAAGTCTCAGATTTGAATCCTTCCATTTCTACTTGGAAGTGAAGAATCGAGTAGTATGATTAGCCGTTACATTCAGACTGTGTAGTTCATATCCAATCATCAAAAGACCGAAAATAATTATGCTAAGTAATACACACACTATATTTAAACATAAGCAATACAATGAATACGAAAATCTGAGCATTTTTATTTGTCAAGAAAATGTTTTTGGTTTTTTTTTCTATAAAAAAAATAAAGACATCTATAAAAAATTATCCAAAAGTTCATCATCATCATCATTATCATCTAACGTTTACGTATAGTATTTCCAGCCCAATCAATTTTATTGGTATTTTTTAAAAAATTCAATCCATCTTCAAAATTTTCACGTGTAATCATACGTTCTGATCGGGCACGTAAATCTTCTAGTACACGTGAATAAACAAAAGTCAATACACGAGGACGTTCTTCAAGAAGTGACCATATTGCCATAGCCATTTCTTCACGTCGTTTACGTACACTACTACTGATACCTAGTTTTGTCAAGGGGTAAGTAAGAGAAAATTACGAATGAATGAATGAGTAATAACAGCAATCAAAACGAAAGAAAGAATCTTGACTATTTTGTTGTGTACTAGTTATTTCCAAGAGTGAATATTAATTACATTAGAGAATAAAGATTGTAAATATTTTGCATGAATCGACAATTGATGTCAGTTAGATAACCATTGAAAATCAGTAATCATTGGACAACTATTAACAGTGAGGATTAACGACCCCATGATCTTTAGATAACGTGGTAGGAGCATGTCGCCATTAGACTATCAATGAGTCAGTTGCATTCAATGATTGGCTTTTGCCAACCTGCGTCACTTATGGCGTAGGCGAGATATCCGTTTGCTGACTAAAGGACGAGTGTACTGCACAGTAGTTCGCTCCGTCTTACTTTGTGGCTGTGAAACATGGCCAATGACAGTTGAATATATTCGTAGGATACTGGTTTTCGATCATAGATGTCTTCGAAGCATTGCTCGTATACCGTGGGACACCCGAGTGAGCAACGCTGTTATTAGGAAACGGGTTCTAGGTAAGAATGGCAGATCAATAGATGAAGAAATGAAACTTGATCAGTTGAGGTGGTTGGGACATGTGCTGCGTATGCCTAACCACCGACTGCCTCGTCGAGCTTTGTTTTGTAGTGTAGGAATAGGTTGGAAGAAAGTTAGGGGCGGCCAAACCAAAACATGGCAGAAATCCATGAAGTCATTGACGAATGGACTGAGCCATGTTGGTAAATGTAGACTACCTGGTTGGGGTCCGCGAGATGATAATAATCGATGGTTAGAGACCCTGAATGACATGGCTCAAAACCGTTTGCAATGGCGCCGGTGCATTTATTCTTTGTTCTCTCAAATCCTAATCTTCTGGATTCTTCAACACCTCTAGTTTTGACTTTCTAAACTTTTCTCATTTAATCATAATTCTTGAATAATATCTTCTAATCCTAACCTCTCCGATTACTTCTAACACCTTTACTACCTCTTTCACTATTGGGTTTGAATTGACAACATGAACTGATGTACTTACGTACCAAGTTCTACGTTGCATCTGACTGACTGACTGAATGATTTACATGTTTAACTTCAGTCAATTTTCTGTATTGCACAACCATCTTACAATGCCATTCGTGGGTAAGGTATTAAACGTTTGATATGGTGTGAAGTTCGCCGATTATGGCTTTCGTTAGTGTTCCATTCTAAAATGTTGGATAAAATTATGTCTCCTTTATTCTCAAATATAAGTATACTTCAAAGACTGGAACATTGGCACAGTTCAGATTGGATTACCCAGGCTTCGCAACACAAGGAACGATTGTTTGTATTATATAACGTTTAACATCCAATGTTCGGTTGTAAAGAACAACATGTCAACTCTGGTTAGTGATAAACGAAGATTGATGCTATTTATTGTTTTTTTCAAGTTGTACTTTTGACAAAAGTGAACTTGCAATCGTAGTTATGTTTTCATTTGAAATGTATTAGAAATTTTTTAAAATTCTCTTGTTTATAATATGATTTTAATTCAAATTTCCCCAATCAAAAAATTTTATTTATATCATTGAAGGTAAATGAAAGTTAGTCATATCAAGATCGCTGTTGAGTAGTTAAATAACCCTCATCGATCAGTATTAAACGATTTTAACTAAATATTCAGTCAGTTACAATGTAGAACTTCCTACCTACGTATATCAGTTCAGGTTGTCATACCGCATCAGCACAGAGACGCAACTGTCAGTTCAAACTCCGTAGTGGTGGAAAAAGTAGAATTAAAGGTAATGAAGAATATTAGGGATTCAAAATATTATTCCAGAAGTATAGTTCAGCGAGATAACTTTAGAACGAGAAAGACAGAGGTGATGAGGAGTTCTGAGGATACGAATGTCATAGAACACAACCAGTGGATGCACCTACGCCATTGCAAACGATTTTGAGCCATGTCGTTCAAGGTCTCTCACCATCTTTTGTCTCGCGGACCCCAACCAGGCAGCCTGCGTCCACCAATATGACTCAGTCCAGTTGTCAGTAACTTCATGGATTTCTGCCATGTTTTGGTCTGGCTGCCCCTAACTTACACCATACAACATTGCGCATCGATCGAGGCAGTCGGTGGGTAGGCCATAAATATTAAAAAGTAGTGAGTTAACTGTAGCAAGAGTGGTATCAACCTTATAAATTCCTGATTAATAATACTAGGTTCTTAGTTGAGCTTTCTATCTCTCACTACTAATACTGGATTCTGTTGTATTTGAATGAATATATAGTAGTTCTATACTAGGACTTGACGGCTGTTTAGTACTTCCAGGTAGTCTAACAGTGATTGATTCTCATGATTTCAAAGGGAATAGATATAATCATGAAGAAGACTATACATCAAACAGCTTTCCTAAGACAAAACACTAACCAACATTCAATGATTCTATATCATAAATAAGTTATTGAAATTCAGTTTCTTACGGAAAATTTCATGAAGTTCTAAAACATTTTGTCTATGCTTCAACTCATATCCATCATATATAACTTTCTAGTGAAATGATGAAATAACCCTGATATTGTGGTGGTGTTTCGTTCTCTGAGCTGGTTGTTTTGGCCTGAGTGCCAAGCTTCTAAAAATTCTCTAGTGTTCTTTGTCCCCCCCCCTACCCAGTATTTCCACATTGTTCCAATCAAATGTGTGTCCATAATTGTCGGTGTGTATTGATATAAGCGAAGCGTTGTCGTGGCGTTTGACTGCTAATTGATGTTTACGTAAACGGAGCTGAAGAGGTCGTCCACTTTGTCCTATGTAGTGTTTTTCACAGTTTGAGCAATTTATTTTGTAGATGATAGTTGGTTTTTCTTCTTTTTTTCATTTTGTCCTTTGGTCTGCACCGACAATTATGGATACACATTTGATTGGAACAATGTGGAAATACTGGGTAGGGGGAGGACAATGAACGCTAAAGAATTTTTAGAAGCTTGGCACTCAGGCCAATCAGCAATCAACAAACACATTGACATTGACTCAATTTATCAACCAATCAGGAAAATCATAGGTGACATAGGATCAAGAAACAGATCAAAAGGGAGATACAATCAAAACAAAGTTGCAAACAACGACAGGTCAAAGGCCAACAGCAACCAATCAAGATAGAGGTTAGCAGAACAAGCTACAGGTCAAACGTGGGGAGAAATTCGAATACTTCACTTCTGTTATCTGAAGTTTGTGCTGATGATGTTGCTGTTCAGAATAACAATGAAAGCTCCACAACCAAAACAACCAGCTCAGAGAACCAAACACCACCACCACAATCATCCACATGAGCTACAAGTTTTCTCCATCATCTCATAACCCTGATATTATTTAACTACACTTATAATTTGTTAATTATTATACAATACATGATGAGTTTGGAGCGGAAACATGGAGAACTACGAAAGCCATCATCATCCAGAAGATACAAGTGTTTGTTAACAGTTGCCTACGCAAAATACTTCGTATTCGTTGGCCAGACACCATCAGCAACAACGAACTGTGGGAGAGAATAAATCAGATTCCAGTGGAGGAGCATGAAATCAGGAAGAAGCGGTGGAAGTGGATAGGACATACACTACGAAAAGCACCTAACTGCGTCACGAGGCAAGCCCTCACATGGAACCCTCAAGGCAAAAGGAAAACAGGAAGGCCAAAGAATACATTACGCCGGGAAATAGAGAAAGATATGAGAGGAATGAACAAACATTGGACAGAACTGGAGAGAGAAGCCCAGGACAGAGTTGGTTGGAGAAAAATGGTGGGCGGCCTCTGCTCCATTGGGGGTAACAGGCGTAAGTAAGTAAGTAACATGATGAGTTTATAGAATATAGATTGTAATGGTGAAATGTATATATGTTATACCTGTTGTTAAAATATTGATATCGATTGTACCAGTAAGTGGATCAATTGCGGCTTGTTTTAACGCTTCACGTTGTAAACGTCGAGCTTCACGACAATCATCCGCCGTAACATGATTTGATAATCGTAAACGAGCATGCGCTTCAGCTAAACGTACAAGCGATTCAAGTTGACGAGGATAAGCAGATATCTATCAGGTGTATAATTAACAAGTATGGATCATAAGAGTTAGTATAAGAATAGATTAGGGAAAAAACGACAATGTAAGAACACAGCAAAAGTAAAATTCAGATAAACAATTTTTAAATATCATGAGAAAAGTTTAGTTAAGCAATATAATAACCCTTATTAATTAAAGACTACAGTGTAGTACCAAAGTTTGTTAGTGTTACACACTGTTACAATTCTCTCTTTATTACATACAACCAAGCCATTCCTAATGCTTAGTATCCTCAGTCACCAATTCCCTCAAGATGTTCTCTTAAATCAGAACAGGAAATAGAGATTATATTTCAATAACAAGGTTAAAAATGGAAGACAAAAGGTCCAACGGAAAAAAGACGTTAGTATATTTATAGTTTTCTTAGATGAGAAGACTCAAGAATGTTCCCTCAATATCGACTGGCGCTGATTGCATACGAAAGAGCCAATCATGCTTTAATTCAATCTATGTCCCACTAACACACACAGTAATATTAACACTTGCATCCTCCTAACTAGAGTGTATGCGATGAACATATTAAATAAAATAATAATACTTATCATCTTTATACTAGGCTAGAAGTCAAGTTTATTTCGGTCTCAATAATTTCCGATAGATATTGGCAATCGGTTTTCAAAATGATTCTACAAATTTACAGAATAGATTCATTGTGGCTAGAAGCGGGATAAATCCAGGTAGGCAACATATTAAATATTCGCTAGTTGAATGTGTGTGTGTGTTTTCATCCTGATATCGATTTACAGTACAGAACTCGAACTCAGTGCTCTTTCTTCCAAACACCAACTCATTATCTATTGATACCATATTGTAAATAATCTATTTAACGAATATGATGCTTATTTAATAAGCATTTTAGACCCAATATCAACATAAACACTAAGATGTAGGTACATTCAGCTGACGAGGCCCTAAACAGTATGAAATGTACATCTAACATTTCCTTATTAGTCACAATCTACTTATTCTATAAAACTTGTAATAAAATTGTTATATGGAGGCTTGTCAGCACAGGATGCATACATGCCATCAAACACTGGTCAAAATTCAGCACTGAATATCATATTCTGTAGATTTGTTTTTAAAATATGAATAGAATGAGCTTAAATTGTGTTAAAGGTGTGGTATGAATAATGGAAAGATATTTCTTCTCGATGCATCTGAAATGGAGACTAGTTAAAGGAAGATCTTGATAGTTCAAGAGTGCGCATCACTTTTTGTGAGAAGTTCTAGGTGTATCAGCTAGTCAACCAGTCAACAACAAAGCGAAGCCAAGAAGTATTAATCCATTCATATTCTCCGTTTCGTCTGTAAAAACCGTAACTGATTGTCAAATAAGTAGTTGGAAATAAATATTCATAGACTATATCACGGATTTACCAGAGTTGGACAACCATTGGAAACTAGGAAGCTTCGAGCAGGTGTTTGGTAGTGCTAAACGAAAGACTTGAGTTAGATCTCTGGTAGAGTCGTTGTGGGTGCGCAAGACTGAGGAGCCGAGTACTGGGACGAAACAGTTTCCTAATGCTTTTTGATTTTCGACAGTTATTTAACTATGATCGATCAGTGACGTAAACTATGAATTCTGATAAAAAATTATTTTGCGCTGTAGTCTTCAAAATATGTAACTTACAAAGAAACACTGATAACATGAAACTATGATGATAAAATAAAGTAATCATTTAGTTACCTGTCCACGACCTGAACCCAATTTTCGCATTTCTACGTACTCACGAACTAAGTACTCACCGGCTTCTTCTGTTAGTTTGGGATAATATTTCATCTAAACGGGAATTAAGAGAATAATATCATTTTTGTGGGTTATTATAATCGCTATAGATCATTAAAAAAGTATTTAGTAAAGTCTATGCTTCATTTGTGTTATTCAACCACTTTGCAATTCTGATGTTGGACTTGATATGAATGTGTCTGTGAGTAAAATAAGTTAATAAGTTGGCTCAATTGCACATACGATAAATGATAAGCAAGATGCTGACAAACACATGCTGTTGGTCAGGATTTGGTTTCGCTTTCGCTAAGGAAATAAACATAGACTTATGGGTTGAAGATATGACTTTATTTTGAATATATTCTTGATACTGATTTAGGTAATAAAGGCTTTCTACTCACTCCTGATTTAATTACTCAAAGATTTAACATTGTATCACTCATTAGCATCAAATTCAAAATTGATTAGTAAATATTTCTGAATAGTATTTCAGATTCTTGTAAAAGCATCGCATTATTAACAGAGGTGGATAGTAGTTAGCGGTAGAGTCCAGGACGCACATCTCATCTTATTTACGACTCGTCGGCTGGATGTACCTGAATCAGTGGGATGATTTAACCATGCAATACAAAAGTATTGTAATAATTATTATGCTCAATATGCTTAAAAATGCAAAATAGCGTAGAAAACAATGTCAATGCGTAAAGAGTACCATTAAAAGAGATTCAACAAAACATCCATCCTTCATACCAAACTGAATAAACTCAACTGTTAAAATAGAACAGATTTTCTAATCCAAATCATCTATGACTTTCTATTTAAATTTTTTGGGGTAAATTTAACAGGAAATTAACTATGTCTACCTCTTTAAAGATTAAAACTTTTTAGAAGTACACCAATAATACCTTAGCATAAGTTATATAATCTTTCAAGAGGTTCCTGTTTACAAATGATGGATCATCATCATTTTGACTGTCCATTTCAAGTAGAACAGCTCCTGGACGTGGTCCACGTGCACTTCGACTATTATTATTATTATTATTATTGCTATTAGTTGGAACATCTTGACTGCTTTCAATTTGACTTGGAGTAGTACCACGATAATATAAACCAACTAAATGTCTGGCTAATCGTGTATCATACACTTCATCTTGTGGATCCAATATAAGAAAAATCAGATCAAATCTTGATAGAAGAGTATGAGGTAGCTGAAAATCGAAAATAAAGAAACGATGCATCAACCAGATAGATAGATTATCAAGAATCAATGTAGTAATGAACAGAACATATTATTCATTATAAGCAGAAATGTATTGTGACTAGCAGTGGGATCCAGCAAGCACGTATCGTCCTATTTGAAATCCGTATTAGGTTACAGTCTCAGTGTGGACATCAACTATGAGATGCAGGTACATCTGTAGTCAAGGAGAACACAGGTGGGGCAACCGAATTGTATCTAACGAAAATTACAGAGTTACTCAGTAAAATCGGAAAACCATATCGTAAATCGTTCATTTGCAAAAGATCAGTTCATCCTATGGAACTGGACTGTTCCTGTTGCCAAACATCAATCCATTGTCACTATTCATGCGTTTCATACAAATTCCATTGTTTTCTAACTCTTCCTTTCTTGATCTTCCCCCCATATTATGCTACCAGACTTTACGTTGACACTCACGTTATATACTACTTATAAGTAGTTCGCACCACAGCACCACACATCTATTGGATGCCAACTCAGTGATCTAAGTACTCGTCCTAGGTTTGTTACTCGGGGGTAGGGGTTAGTAGATGCACATTGTCGAACTGTCCAAATAGTAGGATGAAATGATTGTTTCGTGCCTTCCTATTTTTATCAGTTATTCAACTAAGGTAAGTGCTCGTTATGCTACTCAATTCAGATAGTGAAATAAAGTGAACTCTATAAGAAGAGCGGAAATGCAGTACTCACTTGTATATTTTCAATAATTGTTTTATTAGGATCCCATTTAGAACCAATTGGATTGGCAGCGGCTAAAATTGAAGTACGTGCATGAAGTTGACAAAGAATGCCAGCTTTAGCAATACTTAAAGTTTGTTGTTCCATTACTTCATGTAGTACAGAACGAGTTGAATCAGACATCTTGTCAAATTCATCAATGCAACATATTCCATTATCAGCTAATACTATAATTATATCATGAAATAAATAAATGATGTTGAAAAGTTTAAATACAAGGAAAAATATATCTGATCGCAATAATTAAGAGGAATATTACATATTAATGGTATTATGAGGACAAGTAGCAGTGTAAATGTAGTTCCGGAGTAGAATTCCACTTCAATAAATTTATATTCGTGTAATAAATAGTGAGGGAATATTGATATACCATTGTATAAGAGGTAGACCTTAATTTATGACTACAAAGGCTTGGTGTAATTGCGTTCACTCGGAAATGAGACACAACAAAGTGAAATGAGACTGGTAATCATACAATCAAGAGGAAATTAACCAACTTAAAATTAAATAAAAAATGGTTTATTGGGAACAATAATCAACATTGATTTCGCTTAGTTACAAAGCATTGCCTTACTTCCAGGAAGAATGTAACAGGCAACGCCACATATTTCCATTCTGAACCATATCTGATTAGATCTTTAGTCACTGAATTGTGTGATCTTTAGGATCTCCCCTGGGTAGCGACAGAAACTAGTCTTATACGACCATCTTTCATTTCACAATCCCATATTATAAACTGGACACCTCTCTAATTTTGTTATCTAGTTGAAGCGTTAAAAATTGGTGAGCACTATAGAAGCAGCTAAGACATTTGTGAAACAGATCCGCATAGTTGATGGTAAACTGTATATAATTTATGGTGATTAGTTACGACAAATGGATAATTTAGTCGAGGTAAGTGGAACGAATGTTCATTGCATAACATGAAAAAACAAACAAAATCAAATGCATAGACAGTCTAAAAAGTTTAAAAGCTTTAAACGGTGAAAAAGCCAAAAAAAAACAGTCAATGAGTGACCACCGAGTTAATTGGAATGTTGATTCGAAATGTCCCACTTTGGATCTCAACGATCCATGAAACAATGTTATGGTCAAAAAATGCTCTTAATAGAGTACATAAAAATAATATTTGGTTACGAAATCTCAACGAACCAAGTATTGATGAAACAATATCAAGTCTGAACAGAAAGTATCGAGGTTTATGATCTGAAATGATAAAATCAGTTAACTTCACTCAACTAAGGGTTAGTGAATGGTGAAATACTAATCGGCTATTTGATTGTGTATGTAATATAGGTTACACTGACTAAGAATGAAAAACAAGCCGAGATCATTTATACGAAAATTCGTTAATAGTTGAGAGGGCTGTTTGGGAAGAATTGGGCGTCGAGTATATAGAAGACATTATTTGTGAAAATTATATATGGAACATTCTCCGCCTGTAGACCCTTCGAGGCAACTGCCGGTCCCAAGTCCGGATAAAGGAGGAGGGTTAGGGTTGGCGACCACATCCCGAAAAAAACTGAATCGCTAAAAAACGCTAGCAAGAAAAAGTAATCCAAACCATTTAAGCTCTGCTCTGGGAGTTGGAATGTCTTCATTCAGAAGGGTTATGACGTCTCATGATGAAAGCCAAGTTCCTTCGGAAGTCATCAGGCCGATGCCCCCTTCAGATAACCAAGGCCTTTCCACGGTGTGCGCAGCCGAGAAGTAACATCCGCCCTTATACCCATAAAAGCACACGAGGCCAAATCGGTCAGAATCAATTCCTTCAGTGACTGAAATATTATATGATTCCAACGTGTTATCTAGCAATCTAGTCTGAATCTCTTCAAGGTAAGATTAATCCAAATCAAGATTATCAAAGAATGCATTACATTTAGTTATGAAATCCAGTTTATACTTAGTTTATATTTAGTGTAAATATAAAACAAAGCTTGGTGATAAGGATTAATTTGAGTCCAAAAATAAATCCTTATTACAGTGTTATCGGAAGTTAAAAAGCAGTTAGTTTGTTGTCATAATTGGTACAGGAATCCTTGACTGATGCACATTTCTGCCATGTTTTACACTATGTTTATGATAGACTAAATGTAATTTAGAAATATTTATTTGACGGTTTTTGAAGTTGATTTGTAATTTTATAAATTCCATATTTCATTTTATCCTCTGGTGAATGGAATCAGTGAATACAGTTTTTAAACGTACGCTTAGCTGAACTAAAATAATTTGAAATTACATATCAACATATTAAGTGGTTGTATGAAGGTGGCAAGAAATCTTGGAGCTAAATTTCGTGTTAGTTGATACTCATCATCAAGGTCTACCTGAAATATTGAGGAAACTGAAGCACCTTATGGAATCAGTGCGTATATGGTTGGATGATGTAGAGTGGTGGTTACATTGGGACTTGATCGACAGGATATGATCAACACTAAAAGGATAAGACAAATATGATTTTAACTACTATTCAGTTGTTGACCATTTATATATTAAATTGTACAGTAAATGTTTTCTCCACACAGTTGTATAGTAATTTTGGTCAGTTATATGTGTAAGAATGAAAAATATGTAGCACGCTACGCAATAAAATGACTGCAAGAGAAAAAAAATTGTATGTGCGTATTTCAAATAATGTCCAATAATGAACAAAAAACACTCTTCACCATTCAACCAACCTAATGCTCCAGTTTGCAGTGTTAATTGGCGCGTTTCTGCATCTTTTGTAATGTAAGCTGTTAAACCAACAGCAGAGCTTCCTTTACCAGATGTATATTGACCACGAGGAGTAAGACGGTATACATACTGGAGAAGTTGAGATTTTGAAGTACCTGGGTCACCGCATAAAAGTATATTAATTTCAGAACGAAAATCACCACGTCCTTTAGCGGTGAAATCTTTACGTGTACCACCGAATAACTAAAATAAAAACAAAGGAAAAATTCAACAGGAATTAGACACTAATAAACGAATAAGAAAATTATTAGAATGGTTAGTGACAACTAAATTTACTTTTGTTATATATATGTAACTCAACAAGTACAAGTGTTTAAATACTCACAGAAACTGTGAACAGGCGAATAATGCCTACTACTTGGTCGTCAGTCCGTCAGCTACAACGTATAACTACGCACATACGTACATCAGTTCAAGTTGCCATACTACATTAGCACACATAGATAGAGTTGTCAGTTCGAACGGATTAGGGAACGGAGATATGATTGGAGAAGTACAATCCCGTGAAACCAATTTAAAAGAGAAAAAAGGCATGAGTAATATGAGATGATAAAGAATGTATGCACCTGCGCCATTACAAACGATTTAGAGCCACGTCATACAGTCTTTAACCAACCATCACTATTGTTGCGCCGACCTGAACTACATTGTCTTCACCTACTAGTATTGCAGTGAAGAAGAAAACAGATGAGGGCAACCGAATTGTATTTATCTCAAATTACAAAGTTATTTGGTAAAATATCAATCCATCATATCGAACTGGTCTGTTCCTGTTGCAAACATCAGTCCATTGTCTGACATTTCACTGTTCGTGCGTTTCATACAAATCCCATTGTGTTACCGCTCTTCCTTTCTTGATCTTCCCCCATCTTCTGCTGCCAGACATTACGTTTTCACTCGCGTCATATACTACTTATAAGTAGCGCGCACCACACTCGTCCCCCTTTTAATAAGCTGTCGTCGTAGTCTTTCTGATCGCCGTACCGCTGTCTTCTTTGGTGCTTTCCGTGACTCACACACTTGATAATCTTGAAACCGCCTCTGCAGTTGACTGGCATTTACACGCTTCTGCTTGTCTTCTCTCCGGATCGTGTACACCGCGCCGCGTCTCTTCGTGATAACGTACGGTCCTGCCCACTTTGGGATCAGCTTTCCCGACCCTAATCCCCCTGCTATGCTACTTTTTTGTTCTCTACACTTTACTAGGTCCCCCACTGCAAAAGGTTTCCAAATTTTCCTCTGTTGTTCCGCCTTCTTTATGTCTGATATTTTCTTATTTCCCACGTTCCTGATTGCCTCCCTCCTCTCTTTTACTCAACCTTGGCTGTTGTCCATTTCTGTTGTTGTGGCCAGGTCTTATTGCGCAATGGAAGTCGCGGTTGTCTGCCATACATGAGCGAGAAGGGTGATTTCCTGGTTGTTTCTTGTATGGAGGAACGATGCACCAGCAAAATCAATGGTAACTCTTTCTCCCAATCTCCTCCTTTAGATGCTAACCATTCCTTTAACGTCCGGTTGTTCCTCTCTGTAAGCCTGTTTGTCTGATGCCAAACTGTTTTAGACGGTCTTTAAATTCGTCACTTTCAAAACAGGGACCCTGGTCAGTTAATATCATCTTCGGTATTCCGTGGCACGCTACAATATGCCGGATCACCACTCCGGTCACTGTTCTTGCCCGCTGGTCTGCAATGGGTACGGCATCTATCCAACATGTAGCATGCTCCGTCATCACTAGCAGGTACTGGTTACCGGTCGCCGTCTGTGGAAACGGTCCCATTACATCCACCGACCATAGATCACCGACTGCGGTTACTGGGATCGACTGTAATGGCGGTTATGCGTATCTATCGCTTTTCATTAGTTGACACTGCTGGCAAGTTAACACGTATTGAGCCACATCATCTCTCATGCCCGGCCAGTATGCACTTTGTCGTAATAAATCCGTCGTTCTTGCGATGCCTGTATGTGCTACCTGGTTACACTCGTGTATCATCTTACGCCGCCAGTCTTTCGGGATTACAGCCACCCAATTCTTGTCATCGTCCTGCCAGGTCACAACTCCATATGCGTTCACTCTCAGTCGTTCCTTTTGCCGAAGTAACATTATTACCTCCTTGTCCGTCTTTCGTTTGTCTACGTCTGCTCCTTCTTTTATCACTCTGATTACCTGTTTAAGGTTCGGGTCAGCTTTCTGTTGCCGGATGAGTTCTAATGGGTCTCCCTCTAAACTACTCACCGCGTATGCTGTCACTGGAAGGTCAGCTTCCATGTCTGATCTTGACAAGTAATCCGCCATTACGTTTTCCTTTCTTGGAACATGGCCGATACTGAAGTCGTATTCTTGCAGACGTATCATGCACCGCGCCAACTTCCCTCGAGGGTCTCCTGCTGTTCTCAACCACTGCAGGGGTTTACCTAAAAGGTACGGTAATGGCTTTATTTCTCCGTTTCCCACTTTATGTCCCAACAATATGACGCTGTTTTTCGCTATCTGCGACTTTTCCTTATTAATTCGCAGGCCAAATTCGTCAATTCGCTTTAAGACCGCTTCCACATGCTTGACGTGATCTGTTTCCGTCAGGCTGTATACAACTACATCGTCGCCATATACCTCAACATTATCTAGATTCTTAAGCAGCAGCGTCATCAATCTTCTGAACGTGAACGGTGCACCAGCCAACCCGAACGGCATTCTTTTAAATTGATACTGTTTATCCCGTATAGTAAATGCTGTCTTTTTGCGATCGCTATCTTTTATAGGTAGTTGCCAATAACCTGACCGTAAATCCAGCACTGTAAACACCGTGGCATTCTGTAATCGATCTAATGTTTCTACTACTGTTGGCATTGCGCACGGTTTCAGGTCTGTTATATTATTCAGTTCTCTAAAGTCGACGCAAAATCTATACTTTCCATTGGGTTTCTTTACCAAGAGTACCGGTGAGCTATACGGGCTGTCTGCTTCCTCAATTATCCCTTCCTTCAACATTTCCTGGACCTATCGATTTACCTCGGCCTCTAAATGCACCGGGACACGACGTGTTGCAAATATATTTACTCGGTCGTTCTTTATCGGAATTTCGTGTCTTACTTTGTCACAAAATCTATACGACCGCCCATCTCCAGTGATCAGTTTCGCATACTTTGCGCATAACTCGTTAATGTTTGGTTTCTTGGTCGAGACGTCCGTTGTCACTCTTATTTCAGCCACTTCGCTACTTTCGTGTATTGGCAATGAACCGTGCATTTTGACCATTTTCCCGCTTCTCAAGTCAATTATCGCTTTTACCTCTCTTAGGAAATCTGCTCCTAATATCGGTCTCGATAAGCTTGTGGTTACCACGAACGGAAAATTTATCTCAGCTCCACTCATTTTTACAATACTGTTAGATACCCCCAACACCTCTAGCATATGCCCTCCTATGGTGTGGGCAGCTAATGTACATGGTTTGATTGTCTTACATTGCTCTTTGCCTATTACCGAAATTGATGCCACTGTATTGATCAAACACACTAACTCCTTCTCATTTATATACACTCTGGTATAAATTGCCCCTCTATCTATTATATTATATTGTAATTACGCCT